TTTTTCTTTTTGCTTATGTGGTGCTGAGGAATGGAACCCAGGGCCTCAGGCATGCAAGGCAAGCGCTCTACCACTGAGCCACCTTCCCAGCCCACCAACACAGTTTTTATAAATTTGCTTTGTCAATCTTCGATTTTCTAATCTTGCCCTCCACACTGACTTCCCTTTTTTTGGGGGGTAGGGGGAGGTACTCAGCCTTTAATTCTGGGCCTGAGTACCGTCCATACCTGAGCTTTTGAGCTCAAGGCTAAGGCCCTACCTACCACTTGCAGCTTTCTCGGTGAATTGGAAGTAACTGTCTCATGGACTTTCCTGCCAGGACTGGCTTCTAATCATGATGCTCAGATCCCACTCTGCTGAGTAAGGATTACAGGCATGAGCCACTGGCATTCACCTGTCTCTTTTGTTTCCCATTCTGCTTAGATTATTTCTAAGATTATATAAAGTAATACTTATAAGACAATTTGAAAAACTCCTCAGTAATATTTCAAAGGCTAATATTTTCTTTTCATTTTGGGGGTAGGTCTGATAATTTTCCAACTATGCTGATTTTAATACATTTATGTTCAAAGTTCTAGTACTGAAAAACTAAGTTATTTTTTGTAGAAAATGTAATATAGTACCACGAATTCAGTATCAAGTGATGAAAATACCTAGTATAGACAAATAGGTGATAAATACTAACAAATTCAATAGGTTAACACCTTTCCCGCATCTACATGCGCTTCCCCTAGACTATGGACACTATAAAATGTTGAATGTCTCCTTTGCCAAAAAAAAAGGCTAAAGCTAAAATTGTGCCAAGGGTCCCTTCACGTGAGAAGTTACGCTGCAGCTAAACCGCCCTCCGCCCGCCCCAGCCTGGGACCCAGGAACGTGCAATCACGGCCGATAACGGCTTCGTCTCCCTTCGGATTTCGTGTGTCAACACGACCATACCACAGATTACATGTCCGGAAGCAAAGGCCCAAACCGGAGTGAAGATAAAGGGAGAATTCCACGACCACGACACGGGCCCCCGAAGAGCAGCGGGAGGGGCGCCTAGGAGCAGCTGGATCCCGCGGTGAGAACCCCCCCCCCCGCAGGAGCCCGGGGGAGGCTGGGGGCCAGGTGACGAGCCACTGAAGAAAGCTCCGCAACCACCCCGCCAGCCCGCGCCGGGCCCGCGCCTC